CTGCACACAAATGAAGGCTTTAAGATCCGGCGAGCTAGGTAAAATATACAGCATTATAAAGCGATATATGTCAGATGTATTAAGCGATATGGATACAATAAAATGGACTGCCATTTCATAAAAAAATCCTTTTGAGAACCAGTTGTTAATTATTAATTCTGAAGGTTATACAATTTGAGGTGTTGTGGGCTAACAAACTCGACGAACAAAGCATTATTCATACATATAATTATCTGTCCCCTTATATATTTTTATTGTAAAAATGATTCATCATTAGACATTATGCATTAAATACAAAACAAATATTAAATATGGTATGCGTTCAGTTGAAATATATTTCTAAATAAAGGATACTCTTCCAAATAAATAAAGTATGCAATTATATATACATTTTCATTTATTTGATTTTCAAACCATTTAGAACCCGAATGGCTGATAAGGCTATCCGTATTCCAAACCAGAAATTAAATTTCATAAAATTTGTATGCCGCATAATGTTGGCAGTGATAGGGGGATATAATGCTACAGTTTTCCGTCCGTCCGTCCGTCCGTCCTGTAACACCTATTTAAGGTTGGCGTTTTGGTCATTTCATGCACTTTTTTGTTGGACATCCCTCTTTATGTAGAAGCATTTCTAGCAAGCTATTCGCTGACTTTGTAACTATAGTCAATATCATTCACAAAATGCAAATATCATTATAGTGACATTATAGGGTAATACAATGACCTTAATCATATATGTGTGGCCCCTTTGTTGTAATGGATAAAATTACTTGTGTGTGAAAGACAAACACATACATGTCTAATGTGTCTAACACGCAAATTAATATAGCTATAGTAATTATACACGTATAAAAGACAGTGGACGGATTGATTTCAGGATGTTTTTGTAGATCGCGTTAGGGCCAACTACCCAAAGTGCATCTCCAAACCCAAATCCAACCACCCAACCCCGTTTAGCTCTCTCTCTCTCTCTCTCTCTCTCTCTCTCTCTCTCTCTCTCTCTCTCTCTCTCTCTCTCTCTCTCTCTCTCTCTCTCTCAGACACACAAACACAAACACACACACATTAAAACATTAAATAAAGACGAATATGCGAACAGAGGAGATGGATTGGTTCTAATTAAACTACGCTTTTACAATCAATATTTTCGTTTTTTTTTTTTTTTTGGAGAATGTTACCGAAAAATCAGTCGGGCCACCAGGAAAAAGATTTTGAGTTGTGACGCTTAGCACGCAGAAGGTAAGTATTGAAACTATATCAATGTGCCAAAATAGCACTTAATCATCCAATCCCAATTCAATTATTTGTCAGTGTTACCACAAAGCGAAGTAGCCGACTAAGGTACAAAACACTTCATAAAAGTTATACATAAATTTGCGGTGGTGTCTAGATACACACTAGAAGTCGCCCTAGGTATGTTGTCAGAGATGTCATTTAAATAAGCGTATACTTGACTTACATACAGAAAAAGAAACGGGACTTCAAAGTCGATAAGTCCATGCATCCTAAAATGTCAAACACCAGATCATCGTGGCTTAGTTACTGTATACGCTTCAGCAAAGTTCTTATTTTATAGTTCAGATCCGTCGTTTTCAATCTTGCAGGTACTCCTTAATAAAACTTGATACGTGTACCGAATATTGAGACATATTACATTGCAGCATACAAATAAACCTATACAAGATACTTCTCACATTCATCAAACCTGATAAATTGATCACTATACTACATTCATTTGGTGAGACGGCACAACTATATGTCTAGTACGGTATTTTTCTCGCAGATTTGTCGGTATTATTACCACTTCTTCTAAATGCTGATAAAAAAAACCTTACGTAAGAGGTCACACAGACCAATGATAAAGGCTGGGAACATTCCGTCACTCTTATCAGCAATTGCAGTGTAAATTACATCTAATGGCACACCTACCGGCTAAAGCTCTGGGTCTGTGAATTAGAAATCATGTATTAGTTATGTAAGAACAAACTCTACGAGTGGATAGGTAATTAATTTTATTATTAGACAAGTATACGTTAATGGGCTTACTCATTGTATACCCAGGGATGATTAAATAATAACTGATTGATCGACTGATGTTACCTTGAGAGGTCTAACTATTTCGGAATTGTTCTGTTACAGTTAGACTATTAATGTGGGAATTGGTCGGTGTGTGGAGTTTATGAGTATTAAACATTAAATTTGGGCCACTATGTAGTCGGTAAAATTTAACTGCAGTAAGATGTAAAAATACGAAGGTATTTATGTTTTGTGCCACAGGAAGGGAAGTGGGCATTTTTCCTTATCATATGCACAAATTAGGGAGTGTTTCAGTCGTGGATAATATACGAGAGCAAGAGAAGTCTGTAAATTGAACGAATCGTTATATTTTATTTGTTGTGCTTAAAAGATAGCATGCGCTAAAATTTTAGTTAAAACTTCTTTAAATTTAACTTCAGTTTCAGCTTTCATATTATACTACTAGTTTTGTAATGTTCGATAGCTTACTGATACAAACTGGAATATATATAAATATCAGCCAAACTGCACATATGTTAGCTTATCGACAACTACGACTATCATTGTCTAAAAATGGAATTTTTTGAAAGCAAAACTCTCCTTATAAAATATTATCCTTGCTCGTTTGCTATTTTGGGCGCAAATACATTCCTAACTTCATTCTCGAAAGACATAAACAGTAATAAATAACAACAAACAACAACAGATTATTCAATGCTTTTAACACCCAATTTAACTGAATGAAGGACTCATTTTGATGATTGTGTACTCCAACTCTGTAGAACGCAACAATGGTGGGAGACACATCAGCTCCATTGCTAAAACGGATTTTTTTTTTAAAAAAAAAAGTGGCATCTACACTTCCAATGCTGACAAACGGGGAAGAAATACGTATTACTTACAACCAGAATTATTTCACTCTGCCGGCAGTAAATTGTAGGTTGACAGTATACATAGTTGTATAAAACGAGCACGCTTAACTTTTGCAATCTTTTTCAATACATGTTTAGCTTGAAGACGAGGAGCAGTATACATTTGCTGTATTTTTTCTTCTCTGCTGCTTTAGGGGCATCAACAAATCGGTCAAATACTTCACTTGTTTTTGATGTTACTTCTTCTGGTACACACCAGATGTGATACGATTTATCGTCTGCTTTCACAAAAATGGTATCAGATTGACATGTTCGAGTGTTTGTGTCAAATATTTGAACATGTGTTCCTTTGTTGGAAACATTCGAATACACTCGTTTTGGTTTAGGAATTTTCAGTTGTAAAAAGATACAGGTGTCCTATTTTTATTTTGTTTTGGATCTGTTGTTCAGGAAATTCTGTGCCTTTGTCAGTTTGACGTCTCAGAAGGTTTCAACTATTTTGCTACAGCTCTATTTTCGGAGCTCGTACCAACTAAGGACCGGTTTTGACTACAAGTTACAACTTAAGCAATTTTTGAAATCACACCAATAGCACAAAAATAAATACGAGTAACCTCGATTGCATGAAGTCATGAGGGAAACAACCAAATCCGCTTGCTATTGATGATCGATACCGGCTAATACCGAGTGACTTTTAGGAAATTTGCGCCTAATGGGTTTGTGCAACGTGTACTTTGATTGTTCTTGCTAGCACTGTCGTACGTCGCGAAGGGGTAGAAATTTAGTTTTGCTTTTGCAGTACGACAGAGGTTTTGAATTTTCCTCCATAGTCAGAAGCTTGTGCAGGGTTGCAGTGCACATTGGTGCGCCGATGCTGTTCAGAAAGGCAACCGACATTCTTTGCTCTTCCATTCTTGTTGTCTTTAATTTTTTTGCTGCTGTGTTGCTCATATAAAAAACAATGATGAGAAAACAGGCGCGATTTGTTCTAGTATTATTTCGTACTTCACTTCCTTTCCTTTTGCTTCTGATGGCCATGACATGGTCATAATTGTTTTGGGACCCATTATTTCATTTCTTTTCGAATCGGTTTAGGTGTCAAAGTCTATGAAAGACTAGACGTGGAATTTGATGTAAGTGTTTTATTTGGTGTGGTGGCATGAATTGGTGAATCTCTTCCCTATCATTACTTTCTTTAATGTTTCCGATTCGCCGTATTCCTTGAAATTTTATAGAGTCGGCGGCGGTTGTAAAACTTCGTGGAAAAGCTGCGGAATCTCGAGGCATATGAACTGCGCTGTTTTTGGGTGACTTAAAGTCTCTTTTTTAAACCAATTTTTCAAGACTAATCTTTAGTCTATCACGTTCAAACAAAATCCACGCAACCTTTTGAATAGAGTGCAACGATGTACTGGTATATTGCGGTTGCTGTTCTTGCAATGCATACCGCAATACTGTTTCAGTACCGCGATTTTTCACGGTCTTACTTTCATTCAACAAATTCCTGTATAACTCACAAGTTTTCCAATTTAATTCAAGAACCGTATTTCTTTTCTCGCTTAACATATGCTTGTCACGAGATTGAAAGAGAACGTAAAACAATCTGCAGAGTACCATTATTCGGGCAAAGTTTAATTGGGAGAAGAGGATGACCAGTCAAAAACAGGGATATTGTTCCAGTTAAAAATAATATTATATAAACTTCACTTTATCTTGTGTTTTATGTTCTGTTTGTAATGGCACTAGATGAACAGTACTCACTAGTCCGTGTTGGTGAATATATAATTTCCTCTAAATTAATTTATTTTCTTTTATCAAATACCTGGAATATACATGCAACAATGCTTGGAACATCCGATGGTTTTGCTTCAACGAATAAAAGGAGAGCAAACCAGTGAAACATCGAAACAGTCTGAAGTTTTCGGTGTGAAATGTAGTATAGTCAAATCAAAGGGCATGTCACGTTAACTTCCTTTTCTTGTCTCCAAATATCGATGAATCTCGAGTCTGTGTTCAAGATTTTTAGGAAAGGCATGTAGACCAGAATGTGTGTGTGTGTGTGTGTGAGTGTGTGTGTGTGTGTGTGTGTGTGTGTGACCTGGACTTTTATGACTCGACCCGTAGTCGAACCTGCGACCTCCCGCATCCGAGGCGGATGCTGTAACCGCTAGGCCACCGGACCGGTCAGACTTGAATTTTAATTTTAGAAATTTATTAAATTTTTTTTAAATAAAAGGATTTTGAAATTGTTCAAACAAACAAGCAAAGAGTGCGGTGTGGGAATTTTTAAACAGACTAACTAGAAGTGGAAGTGAGATTCTTTTTTATTTGCTGCTAATTTTACTGCTTTCAGGTGTGTTTAGACTTGTTTAATTTTTGTGTTAATTTAATATTTCTTTGACTACTATTTGAAACTATAAGAGGTAGCATCACTTGGAAATGTTTCATTTTTCAAATATTAAATGTTACAACCATAATGTATTGTTTTCACGAAGTGTTACTGTATCGCATTACGCGTTGCAATATGAGTTTGGTATATTGCAGCATATCGTAATATGGTTTGGGGCGTATCGTTGCATCCATACTTAGCACATCATTGGTTATTGTCAGTAACATATAAGTATTTGGTTACAAAGAAAGTATTAGAGTCCCCCCCCTTTCCAAGCCTTTTGACTATGAGGATCTTTTGGAATGTATATCTTGAAGCAAAATGTAACTTTAGTAAACGAATAGCTGAGTGAAGTGTGAAAATGTTGTACTCACCTACTGTTGATAGAAGCATGTAGCATTTAGCAAGATGCATACAGGCAAAAAATGCACCACTCCGTAGTGACAAAACACGGTACATATTGAACAGATACAAACTCAATATTTAACCAAGGTTTGACTGAAGCTCTAAGGCACAGACAAAATGAGATGGGTAACATTATTTCATTCATCTCTTTGGCGGCACATAACAGCAATGTTTTCTAAATGAAGATATCATTATAGCTCTTGTGCTATTCAAATGGCAAAATATTCTACATAAAATGTAAGCTTGACTGAAAAAAATCAAGTTCGCGTGAATCAGATTAAGGATCTCTGTTAAAGCTGCATTTTATCTGATAGCAATATTCAAATGAATAATTAGCATGGTCGCCCTCACCTACGGGCAAGGGATCTCACCTCTAAACATGTTTTGGCCTACATCCGTAAAACTTAATAGCTGACCACTATATGTTTGCCCCTTTCTACCTCCCACCGTCGAAAATAATTTTGCGGACGTCCCTTATTACCAGATGCGTTTTTAGTGGCTTTCTCACCTGTAATGGCAGTGTAAACTCCGGATACAATCGCGAGTGTCCGCTGTGGTACCTTACCGATTTATTAGTTTACTTAATTTTCGTTTATATTTTCCGAGCTCTGTATAAAAGAGTGACTTAAAACAAAGATTGCTCTGATATGGTTTCTTCAAAAGTGCACCTCTAATCTCGGTCAAACGTATTTTACTGGCTTACAGCTTTAACAGTGTCTCTCAATAGGTTATATTATTTTTCTACATGGACATCAATAAGGACAGGAACGACGGCGCAGGAATATTTTGATGCAAAATGTAAGGAATGAATATCAAATTTGATATAGTGTTACACAATACAACAAATGATCTGGCAAGTATGATGTGCTTTTACGCTTCTGAGTGGGATAATTGAGTGCAATATCATATCTTAATTCTTTAATTTTGACCGCCACGGTGGCCAAGTGGTTAGAGCGTCAGCTTTTGATGTGTGAGGTCACGGGTTCGAATACCAAAGACTTCTTAAAATGGAACTAGCAGCTGCCTCACTATGTTGCTCAGCATAGTAAGGTTAATGTTAGGACTGGTCAACCTACTGTCAGGATAATGTGACTGGGTGGGACATGATGCTACATGTCTGCCGCATGATGCCCAAATACTATATATCACTATAGACTGCCACGCTGCATATTGGAAAATTATAATAGCTACGTTATAAATTCAAAGCACACACACACACACACACGCGCGCGCGCTCGCGCTCGTGTGCACACACACACACACACACACTTTCATTTATCTAATTGACGTTCTGAAGCAAACCGAGGTATACTGTCTAACTTGTACCTACATATACGATTACAAAAGCAAGACTAAAATCAGTTATTTTATATACATTGGACGAAAATTACAGACTGACTGATTCATGAACAGAAATGTTATAGCACACTAATGTTCATTTTTACCTTGTCCGCATTTCATGTAAAGTTAATTTTCGGTTCCGCTCACATTTTTTTCGGTTCCGAGTTGTTTATTTTATGCTTTTTTAAAATTTCTTTTCCGATCTACGCTTGATGCATTCTATTATATGCAAATCCGTACATGGTGAAGGACGACCACTGATCCGCGTACCAGTTTGCAATACAGTGTGATCTTATATGTATGTATGTATGTATGTATGTATGTATGTATGTATGTATGTATGTATGTATGTATGTATGTATGTATGTATGTATGTATGTATGTATGTATGTATGTATGTATGTATGTATGTATGTATGTATGTATGTATGTATGTATGTATGTATGTATGTATGTATGTATGTATGTATGTATATATGTATGTATGTATGTATGTATAAATGAATGAAGGGCGAGATTCACATATCTGCAAAATCGCTCAAACGTGTTGGCTTGGAAATATTTCTAATGTGTTTATTAGGGACAAATAAAATTTTCCATAAATATCCATCTACTATTTATCTATAGACAAAAGAAAAATATGTACTTGTGTATAAAAATATATATCTTTGGAAAATCAGTCTTTATTTTTTTATTGTGTACATTCTGCATTTTACTCATATTTTGTTTTACTGATTTTGAGAAAACAAGTTAGTTTTATTTCGATTTTTCTTATCGTAGATAAATAAAGAAATAATTAAAGAAAGAACTTAGTGCCTTTGATTGACCTTACACAAGAGTCCAAATGCAAATAAACATAGACCTTGATTTGCCGTCGCATATTGCGAATCATTAAACACGTTAAATTGATGTGTTTTCCTACTACTTCTGAGGTTACTTCACTACCTGACGGAAATTACCGAGTGATGTTCCAATCGTGTGAGTGCATTACTGCGTGCATGCGAGTTATCCATTTTTCTGCTATTTTCAATGCTTCCCTTCACGCTGACACAAACAGCCCAGGTGAGTTGCGTATAATTTTATACGTACGTTGTGAATGGCGGCTATACCATAGTCCCATAAGAGTTAATCTTTCTTGAATGATACAAAGTAAGCGTTCGTTAGCTTCAAGAAATAAAACCAACATCAAAGTACCAGTATTTGATAGAATAAATCTGATAATGAGATCAAATGATAGTTTAGTTGTTTTATTGAAGCATGAAAATTCTACGCAGTAAATGATCTATGCTTCCGGATTCAAGCCGATAAATAAGAAAAAAAAAAGTATTTATTCATAGGTTACATAAAATATTGCACTTTCATCTGAATCCTTCCAAATGCATTGCATAAAATTTAGGATCCACAAAAACAATTTTCATACTAATACATCTAGTACAATACTGATAATAGTACTGTGGAGATGTTTCTGCAGATCTCGGTCAAAGCCTTCTAACTCCCTCCACGACATTGAAATAACTCGACCCCGCAAAAACAAAGGTATTATGAGACGCTCTTGCCAGAGAATAGACATGTGATATTGATATTGATAACCAAGCAAACTGCTATTATCAAATTGTATGATTATGGTTTCAAAGCCCGAAACAATATGAATGTAAACCGAATGAGAAGTTAGCAGTTACTCGATTTTCACTGCGTATACATCAGCGTAGTTCATGATCGGTTCCATATATGTACTCGGAATCACAGATTGTTTTCTATTTCCATCAGTACGGTCTTAAACTCTGCGGTGCAAATTATGTTATCCTCGATATCCATCAAATAAAACTTGGTAATTGTATCGAGTCTGCAAAACTCTCCGAAAAAAACCCACGTCTTCACAAAAGCATTCGTGGCAAGATTGTTTTACAAGCAACGTCAGTTAAACCGGTTACTACGAATGTGGCATCAACAACGATTCCGATTGGTGTGCCCATAATGGCTGCTGTGGTTGCGTTTTTCGCCAAAACCCACACCAACGGTGGTTGTTGCAGCTATTGCGCAAAGGGAATCTTCAACCACACACTTGCGTTTGTTTTTCACTTATGACGCGGTTCTTTTGGTGATTTCAAAACTGTTGTTTTTCGTTTATATTTTTCTTGTCGTTAAGTATGATGGTCTATCTCAGTTCTTCAAGTAATAATGTGATCGCGACGTATAATTGCTTTTAAGCTAATCCATGAAGTCATAAAATTTCATGAATGCTGTAGACAATGATATATTCTCTTAAAAACTAGGTAATTATTCGGTGTGAAAAATATCTTCCTAACCTCCTACCCCCATAATCAACAAATACTCACTAAAATATAATAATGTTGTTGTTGTAGGGCTTAACGCCATTTTCAGCACACGATCGGCTATACATGGCGGCCAGTATTAATGGTGGAGGAAGAAACCGGGAAATCACCGGAAAGAACTACCGACCCACGAGAAGCTACTGGCAAGCTATCTCACATATCCACACTCGCCGAACCTTAGACTCGAACCCACGCAGACAGAGGTGAGATGGCAGTGATCCGTAACGGAGAGCGCTTTATACCACTCGGCCACTCGGGGCCCCAAAATCTAATAATGCAAAAACCTTTCTATGTAAATACAAATGGAACATACCCTATGTTGTGTTACTGTACATCCAATGGTCCCAAAGGTTGATTTTAATGGGACATTATTCAGATTATATTGGAACATGTACCAACTTCTTTGAATGTTGTATGCTTAAAGCTCATATTTGTCGACAAGTGGAGTAAAACTTATTTCGATGTCAGCATCAATGATAAGCCGATCTAACATATTGCCGGCAAATATCGCACCTCATCACTATGATAAGAGTTCATTACCTATATGCAACATCTACCATGACCAAAGAAAGCGAATTGGTACACGTAAATTTTATTGGAACCTTGATGTTTGAAGGGATTAGGGGCTTAAGTTTTATTAATTCGCTAGACTAGAGTTCATTGTTTAATATTGCTGCTGAACCCGACCTACCACTAAAACTTAATAAGATGAAA